GCAGATCTTTCTTCTTGCACTGCATGAAGTTGGGCTATGGTTTCCATCATGGCAGGTAGCAGGGCCATGAGCTTGCTGACAGGGAATGATGGGGGTTGTAGTCCATCACAGCTGGAGGGTATCAAGTTGGCGAGGGCCACAATTGGCTATATCCTATCATATGTTTTTATTTACAGGATGAGTCAAGCAGAAGCAACCATTCCCACTTGGGTCCTCCAAATGCACTGCAATGGTCTGCTTTATCCAAGTCATTCTGGGGCGTGCTGAGCACTAGCAGATCTAGTGATCAAAGTTGTTGTGAAGTGCTCCCCCTTCATCTTGCTGGGTCTTTTTTCATTATCTGGCCCCAGAGATAAGGCAGTTTTCAGAGAAGTGACTGACACTTTCACTTGAATTTTACATCAGAGGAAAACTTAGACTCTCCCCCCACAGTTGTTTATGCCCTTGGTTAACAGAGATGATGCTAGAAATGCTTGTTTTACATTGAAGCCTGATACAGTTCAGCTTCCACAAGAATTCTCATATATATATATGTATATATGCGCCTGAGTATATTCACACAACTTCAATGTCTGGTTCCATTTTAAAAAAAAGAAAAACGTATTAAGTTTCTAGCCATCGTGGTTATGGATAATTTAAAATGTGTTCCACCTCAAGACGGAGTTTTATAGGCATAGTTTTATACTCCTTCCCCATTATATTGTTTAATATAGAATAGTTAGGAATGGTTCAAGGCATATATGGCTTTAAAAAAACCAACACAATCTGTGTTAGGATAAAACCTGGATTAGGCCAACCAAAAGATCACACAAACTTTGCAAGCTTTTGAGATTTCCCAGTCTCTTTGTTAGCCATGATGATGAAGAGATCTGGAGTTCTCAGAGACTTGCAAGTTTTTGGCAATCTTTTGGTTAGCCTAATGAAAATATTAACACTAATACGGATTTTGAAATTTAGCCTCTGGTCAACACAGCTAGCTTTGCTATAGTGGATGTTCAATCAGCTTCCTGCCAATTGTATCTCTGATATTTGTTTTATGTTTGTTGTCATATCTATACCCATAAAAGGCAGAGAACTCTAAAGGTGAGGGCTAGAAGCTTGACGTTGACACCTAGTTCTATCCTTCAGCTGTTATGGGGCCAGTTGTCATCCTCAGACTACAAGCTGGTTGGGTTTCATTCTTGGCCTGAGATCTAGACACATCCCTCTGCACCTGATGAACGAAGGGCAAAAATTCCCAACCAGCGAGGCTTTGTGCTTAAGGTTGCTCACTCGCTCACATACATTCACCCACCCATGCATGCAATGAATGCTTTTCCATTTGACATTCTGCCTTTCAGCTCTGTTCTGTCACCCAGAGCCCAAACCGTCAGCTTTGACATCTGATAAGGCCTTATCAGAGCTGTCCAGCTCTGCTTGCTCAGAACTGCTGCCTGCAACATCAGCAACACCCCAAGACTAGTGCTGTGGGAAGCTCCACAGTGCACGCTGCGAGCCTCCCAAGGGGGCAACTGACAGGAGTGATGAGCTTGTGGAGGGCTCTCGTCTCCTCTGAAGCCTGAACTGGGGCAAGGTGCAATTGAACCCATGGAGCACACTGCCACTTCAGAGACTTAGCACAGCCTTTGCCCAGCCCAGGCCCTCCAGATGCTTTTGACTGCAACTTCCAGCCATTGTTGGCCATGCCATCTGGGGCTGATGGGAGGTGAAGTCTAAAATATATGGAGGGTGCCAGGTTGGGAAAGGCTGGCTTAGCATAAATGAACAGCCACCAAGCAGCACAGATGGGAGATAAACACTGGCACATACATTAGGTAAATAACTGGAAGGCTTTTTTGAGCTTTCGCCTTCAATCCAAGAGGAATTAGTGAATTTGCCAGGATCGGTATCAGTTAACACAGACCCTCTTGCACTACTATGAGTTTTCAGCTTCCTGTAAAATGGCACACTATTGTCTCGTTGGTAGGGGCAATAAAGCATCGGCCTTCCACATAGGTATTGGGTGGAAGTCCCATTGAACTCAATGGGGCTTGCTTTTCAGTGTTGACCTTAATAGGCTCGTGCTGTAAGGTTCCCTTTGCTGCGTACTGGAAGCCTGTCTCAATTGCATCCTTCAAGAAATGCCCAGCTGGGTGTGCAGGAGATCGGTGAATGGATACATATGGAACAGACCAGGATTTGTCACATCTGTTTCTTTATGAACAATCTTCTGCTGTAATATTTTTGATACCTGCATTGTATCTTTATACCACTGGACAGACATGTGGATTTTTTTGATGTTTTGAATAGTTTAATAATATGTGTGAGTCACTATGAGCCTGAAATACTGACCTGGCAAGGACAGGGCCCATTGCAGCACTGCATGGTTTATTGCCCCAGCCTTGCCCCTTTCCAGCTGATCTCTGTGAGAGGGGAGGATCCTGTCCCCTCTCCCCACTGGTTGAAAGTGGATCACAGCAAAACTGCTCTCTCTTAGAGGAAGGAGCCTGCTGTGTCTCTGCACAAGTCATGGATCCAGCCTTGCTTCCTTCCCTCCTGTATGTGCAGGCAGGAGATTCTGCCTTGTCTTTGGGTAGTAGATCACTTCTGGTGCTAAAGATGCAGAGTGACCCACCCTCAGACCACAGGACATAGGAAGACAGGGCACTGGTCAGCCCAACTCAGCATTACCTATATCAGGGTAAATCTCCAGATGTTCTGGACATCCAGCTCCTGGAACCCCATGCCAGAAAGACCAGTGGTCGGGAATGCTGGGAGCTGAAATCTGAAACCCCCAGAGAGCTGCTTCCCAACCTTCCTGGTCTAGTCCTACCTCTTGCTCAGTGCAGGAACTGTACACACAAAAGGCCTTTTCCTACAAACCTCTGGCAATGGTGTGTCTACCACCTCCCTAGTCTGGCTTTTCCACTGTCAAGCAGCTCTTCCCCCCACATTTAATCAAGATCCGTGCCTCTGCAATGACCAGCCAGTGTTCTGCTGGGTGGACGCTGCGGTGTGGTTGAGGTTTTCCTGCCCTACCTAGGCATTGCAGTGTGGATTGTCTACCTGCCAAGTATGTGCTGTATTACAGAGTGGCAGCTTTTCCCGTGCAACGGGTGGGCAGATTGCAGGCTTGCAGAATCTATCATCTGAGATTTGGGGGGATGGGGGGGGGAAGGTTTCCTGGGGTCTTTCCCACACAATCAGGCGGTGTCTTACCCCAGTGTTATCCGTTGCATGTGAACTCCTAAGAGCCTCAATCTGACTAATAAGCACAACATTTTGGAAATGCGGCTTCCTCGAAACAGCACCAGAGGTTTGTGCAAATGACAGTGATAAGGAAAGTGCATTGTGCTAAAGAAGGAAAAATGTTGTGCAGAGGGCAGTTCCTTTACTTTGCAACAGGAGCATGTCCTACACTGGCTTCTGAAGAAGAAGTTGTCTAGTAAGCTAACCATAATAGTTTCTGGCAGTACATATCAAAGAGCTAGAGCACAAACATGTCCAGCTACACTATGTGGATGGGTAATGAAGGGTAGCCAGGTTGGGCTGCATAACAGGTGGGGGATGGAAGGGAAATGATGCATGAGCATACACAAGGCCATATATGTGCATTCACATGGATCTGCTCTCACGGCAAGGTACAGCAACCCTTCAAAAATTTTAGTTCCAGTGTGGGTTGGCTGCAACCTTAAGAATGGCACCTCTGTCAGCTAAATTCTAAAAGTCATAGAATAATAGAATAGTGGAGCTGGAAGGGGCCTATGAGGCCATCGGGTCCAGCCCCCTACTCAGTGCAGGACTCCAAATTAAAAGATTCCCAGTAGCTGTCCAGCTGCCTCTTGAATGCCCCCAGTATGGGAGAGCCCATGACCTTCCTAGGGAATTGGCCCCATTGCTGTACTCCCCTAATGGTCAGGAAGTTATTCCTGATGTCTAGCTGGAATCTGGCTGTCTGTAACTTGAGCCCAATATTCCATGTGCTGTGCTCTGGGATGCTTGAGAAGGAGATCTTGGCCTCCTCTGTGTGACAATCTTTCAAGTACTTGAAGAGTGCTACCATATCTCCTCTCATTTTTCAAGTGAAACATGCCCAGTTCTTTGGCTTCATAGTACTCTGTTTCCAGTCCCTGGATCATCCCTGTTGCTCTTCTCTGAACTTTTTCCAGTTTGTCTGCATCTTTATTGAAGACAAAAAAGAATAGCACATTGTCAGGGACAGAAACCATAAAGCTGGAGCATGTGATACAAACTGGGGAGGAAAAGAAGCCAGCAACCATCCTGCCTCTCTACAATTTGACATCAGTCTCAAAAGTGCACTATTACATTATAAATATCCCCCATAGCAAATAAGCCAGGGATAATCCTTGCTTTCAGCCCTGCCAGGTCATACTATTGTTCTAAGTTAGCCCCACACCATACAGGAAGTAGGTAGTCAAGTGGGGTGGAGATTTTCCACCCACTGTGTGCATCCTTCTAAAATCTGTCCGAAGACTACCAGTCTTCTGGCATGGGTGCAGGAGGAAAACATTCCAGCTATGTTCCTTCCCCCACCATGGTAACCTGTGCTGAAGGTATCTTGTGCTTGGAAATCCAACCAGCAAGTGTATAAACGATATAGTATGTAGATCGTTGACTTCTTACACATATGTGTATGTTACATTTGGCAAATCGTAGGTCCCAAATTCTCCCAACAGTTTGGGATAACAACTAGAGTTTTGACTTCCTTGCATGTGATCAACCTATTAAACATTGCTTCCTCTCCAGATCTAGAATTTAAGGCGCTCACCCTCTCTCTCACTCCACACACTAGAACTTACTTGAATTGTTTCCAACAGGAAAGTGTTAATTTCATTCAGCTCATACAGAGACTATCTGTACTTCTCCCCCACTCCCTCTCCATGCTCTTCATCCTTCTCACCAGTCCCCTTCAGAGGAGGCGGAGACATCCCTTGGGTGGTTGCTGTGTCTTTTTTTTTTTTTGAGCCATTGGTCCCCTCCCTGTTTATTCTCTCTGTCTGTCTCTCTCTCTCTGCCATTAATGCAGCCTTGGAACTTGTACGAGGACTCGGTTGAGACAGATCAACAGACTGAAGTGAGAATACTTTCTCCGGTGTCAACCAGACCCTTTCCCCAAGTTCACTAGGCTTCGTGGACCAAGACATATCCCAAAAGTTGCCAAGGCTTGTGCTCAGCATCAGGTCAGTTTGATCAGCATGACCGTACCTCCAGTTGACTGAAGCTTATATCCATCGACTTGAATTTGGGTTCTGGGCATAGGAATCCATGGCCAGAAGAAGCTAAGTGTGGCAATAGATACAGAAAAATTGAGAGGAAAAGGTAATAGAAAAATGAGGGTTGAATAGGGAGAAGTGCTGGAACTCATTTGCCTGAAAATTCCATCCTCTGCTCTGGATGGCTTTGACTACCACTGTGTTCCTGGGGCTGGCTACTGTTCCTTAGGTGAGAAATGCACTCTGCATGTGTGTGGAGGCTCCCTTGTCATCATAGAAGCTTCTACTCATGTTCAGTTCAAGGATGAGCCTAGGCACTGAAAACAGGTTCCAAAGCTGAACCTGAATTAAAGCAGTAGCTTGCGCAGCTGGACTTTTTGCTGTTCTATGTGGAATAAGAGGCATTGCAATGGCTGGATGCTCTGTGTACCTTCTCCCACTTCAAGGTTGTCAAACGGACAATGCACCATGCAAATGCCTTGTAATGAGCCGCCCAGACAGCAAAATGCTAACAGGTGGCTTTTATATAAATTTATTTATTTAATTAATTAAGCGATCAAACAGAACAAGATACTAACTACTAGGATGGACTCAAATTTTGAGTTACATCAAAACTTGAATAACATTTGGCAGAGGGTTTTTTTTAATGTATCCTAATGGATTGGGGCTATTTTCAAAGCCATCTACCACCTTGAAGAAACTTTTGGACAGCAAGGTGACACATACATATTTTATTGATAAAATAACTTTGCTAACTGTGCAGAGGGAAATCAACAGATTCAAAGATGAACTGATGGCCAATCTTTGTCAATTTCTAATTCCTATGAAATTGTAAGTTAAGGTTTTAGATATTGAGAAGGACAGGATCAGGAAAAGTATCTTTAAAGATACTTGCAAAAGGTTAAGGTTTCCACTGAATTCTGTGAGACTTGCTTCTAAATAAATAGGCTTAGGATTGGGCAAAGGGAGAAGGGTTTTGAGTTCTGTTACTTGCACTGGGGCTGGAGGGTAAAAACACACACACACACACACACAACCAAAGATAACAAGATCAGGGTGACGGCACAGGTCCTTGCTCCAATACCTAGCAGTGCAAACTCCCAAACAACATGTTGTTTTGTTTAGACAGAAGATGAAGTGAATGAAAAGAACAGGATCAGGTAAGGAAGTGTGATGATAACAACGGGTCTAGATAGAGTCCTGGTGGGTTAAGAAAATCTGGGCAGCGTGAACAAGGCGTGAAAATAGTGTGAAAAAGGCTGGCAACCTGTTATGAAAGTAAAGCACTCCTGTGAGAACGGAGTGGCAAAAGGAGTGCGTTGTGTGGAAAAGGAAGGAAAACACTGGAGGCTGGATCTTGTGGAGATGTTGGATGGGCAGATGGAACAGCAGAAAAAAGCCATTATGCAGAGGAAAGGAGGAAACACAGGCCAGCTCTTAAACATACAGAAAGCCATCGCAAACTCAGTGATGAAATGAAGGACAGAATGCCAGCAAGGCTATGCTATCCAGGCAGTTATTTTTCACCTATATACTAATGCAGTGCAACGTACAGACAAATGCTTCAACCCAGAGGCATAGTTTTCATATACACTAAAAAGCATATTCAATCCTCTCTTGAACTGCAATTATGTATTCCATGTAATTGTTTTAAAATCCAATCTAGCTAACGGCAGCTTTATAGTCCCATTAGAGCCTACATAAAGCAAAATGGTCCAGTGGTGATCCTCTGTGCAGCTTCTTGGATGCATGTTCCACTCAGCTCAGTAGGTCTTACTTCCATATAAATGAATATATGATTTGGCTGTTAAATGACCCATGGAAAATTGTCCAAAGAATTATAAATGAGAATGGAACAGTGTGATTAGAAGGATGGACTTTAGATGCGGTATACCTGGATTTTAATCCTGGCTGAAAAGCAAGTTTTGTTTCTTCCTCTAGAAAATATTGCTAGCACCCCAGTTGCAAACTTGTGTACTTGGAAGCAAGAACAGTTGATTTCTATGGGATTTCTTCCTAGGCAAGAAAACAGGCTTAGGATTTCAGCCCAAGAGTCACAGGTGGGGATGTTAGTAAATACTTCTTAGCCTTTACCTACCAACTGAGGCTAGTGTTTCATGCATCTGATGAAACAGATTAGGTTGTTCCACAATACTTCCTATCATCTTTATGGTGCCATGAGAGTATGTTGTAATTTATATTATAATCTATATAGCATATTAGAATACTCAAAATCTTTTCCCTTAGCTACTTATTTTAAATTATTTTTAGATAGCCTTTAAGGGCCAAATCCCTCAAGGCAGTGCACAAGATAAAAGCCATAAAAATATACAAATTAGCAATAAATATACACTAAAATATGATATAGCACATTGCACAGATAAAACCCGTGGCCCACAGATTTTGGGAAAGCCATAGAAAACAAGTGGATCTTCAGAACCACCTGAAGTCCTGCAAAGAAGGGGCCTAGTGAATCCGTTTAAGATTGCTCAGGATTATTATCCCCATTTTGCAGAGGGGTGGGAGGGGAGACTGAGGCTGAGAGAAACTAGCTTGCCTAAGGCCACCTAATGGGCTCATGGCAGAGGCAACATTTGAACTGAGAACTTCTCAGCTCACACTGCCTGCAGCAACACTTCACCAAATATGGAAATGCCGCTGCTGAGACACTTGCTTTAGGAAAGGAAAGCACTATACTTCTAAGCAGAATTCTGCAAACCTAAGGGACCACACATGTGAAATTAGTGGAGAAAGCAGTTGTGTATAGGAAGCATAGGTTAAAAACAGCATGGCCAGAGAAGAGCAGGGTGAATATGTATCAAGAAATATAACCAGCAGAGAGAAACTGGATGGCAGGAAGGAAGAAGGCATAGGTAGGCGGAGATCTATCTAGATGGAGAAACAGGAGTGGAATGTAATCACAGGGAAAAACAATGCATGCTTATTTCTTTCTCTGTCCATCTCGCCTCACTCTCACCAACTTCTGATCCCAGCAATTAATATGCTTCAGTCTTGTTTAATTCCTATCCTGGGAAGGATCCAGATGGGTGTGCTGACATTGTGGCAGGAAACAGGGGTTCAGAAATAGGTTGCATTTTCTAGTCTTGCTTCTTGATGGGATTCCCTCCTCAGTTCTCCCTTCCCATCTAGGAACTATGCAAGAGGAGACAGGCTCTGACCTGAAAGGATGGAGCCCCCAGAAAGAGCAAAGCCAAAGTCTTTCCTGCAGCCCATTTACCTTCTGCCTAGTCTGCCAGACACCTGGGTTCTTGGGAAGGCTCCAAGGTCTTCTGGAGATGACCTTGGGTAACCTGTAGCCTCTGTCCCCAGTTCAAGAGCCCTCTTTTGGGCAAGAGCCTTTGGGCAAGAGCATGTGGGGAGGGTGGGAGCTGGAAGAGATCAGAGGGTGGAAGTGGAGCAAGTGTGCGTGCATACATGCATGTGCGTGTGATGGTGTGTTGAACACCAGGAGCCTGGTCCACCAGCCCAGGCACCCGACTTTCGATTTCAGGTTGCTCAGGAAGAAATAGAAGCACTTGTGTCATAAATATTAAATGCATTATTGACTACAAATATATTGATAGATACAGATGCAGGTTAGCACTCAGCAAGTGAAGCAAGACTTACACACATCTCTTCAGATTGCAGGGCTTCCTGGTAAGCTGGCAATCACCTCAGCAGGGTTCTGCTTTGCCAGCACCCTTGCACGCTCCTGGTCCGAAGCACAAAGCCAGTTCTACCCAGCCAAGTTTATAAATGCTTCTCTGCTTCCTAGAAAGGACTCCAAGCTGTTAGCTGGGGGAAAGGGGGGCATGGAGATGACATGGTTGTCCTAGCTAACTCTTACCTAAGGAAGGCAGTTTATATGGTGAGTGACTCACAGAGTCCCTTCCAGTCTGCAGGGCTTCTCAGAGGAATACAGGCATAAAAGCTTTCTAGTTTAATGCATCTAATTTAGAGGACTGTATAGAACACAGATGCTTCTGGTGGGGGAAGCAGTGAGGCTGCTCTTCTGATCTCTCTCAGGGTGGATTAAAATTTGCTGCCTCTGATTCAATAGCCTGGGCATCCTGATAACAAAATCCCCCCACCATCTCCGAGCGAGCGAGCCACCACCTCCCCACCTGCACAGCAAGCGCACGCGCGGGTGGTGAACGGCGACATGGGCCGGATGGATGGCCATGGCGGGCCAGATCTGTCCCATGGGCTGTAGTCTGAGGATCCCTGACTTAAAGTCTGGGCCTGTTCTGTATGTGCCATTTATTTTCCACTGCAATAGCCTTTTCTGCAATAGATAGCACTTGTTGTTTGGTTAAAATTACCTAAATGCTACCCATCTGGAGTGCATAATCAATAATTCAAATTATACACTCAGCAGCAACTGGAATGTGTGAATTGATAGCTGTGCCCTGCATAGGGCTTTAAGCTACAATTTTTACACATTTTCCTGGGAGAAAGTACCACTTAACTCAGTATGACTTTCTTCTGAGTAGACATATGTAGGATTGCACTGTTAGTAGTTCACGTAATACATTACGTGTGCTAAAAACATTTATATGTATGTGTGCTAGGAATCCATTCTCCATCCTGAAATTAACTTTTAGAGACTAAGGAGAGTGTTGAGCCCTTAAGAATGGCTGTTTTTACAGTTGCACTAACAAAAATCTTCAAAGGCATCCCCAAATACCAAAGGGATGGTGATTTACCTGGAACAGGTAGCAGGACATATAGACTACAGCTGATAAATCAAAATATTTAAAGGAAGGGTGGGCAATGTGCCCATAAAGGAAGGGTGGGCAATGTGCAGCCTACAAGTCCCATCATGCATCACCATTGCCTAAGATGACTAGGGTTGATGGGACCTGCAATGCCTGGAAGTGCACCTGTTGCTCCTCCTGCAATGAGCCTTTGATGCACCAAGCTGAATGGGCTGCCCCAGCTGATTATTGTGTCCTGCTGGCTGCTCGACATTCACCTGGGGGTTCTGGAGCCAGACACATGGTAAAATTTGGATGTTCATTGTACATGGCTGGTGTTCCACTTGCAGGGTCACAAGCTGGCAGTTCTGCTGCACATTTTTGTAAGGAGGAGCAGTTTCCACATGTATGTGCAGATGTGACGTATGTGAGCATTTTCAGGATCATGCTTTGTCAAAGGTGCGGACTCTCAGACCCAGTGATCAAATCCAGCCCAATAGGGATCCCAAGATCTGCCCCCATCCCTTGCCTATGTTCCCTTTCCCCCACCCCTGATCCTTTGGTAGTTTCCCAGCCTTTGTGCAGAGTTCCCCCTCATTCTGAAAGGTCAAAATGCCTCTCCTACTGCTGCTTTGCTTCAGCAGCAAGGAGCTTAAGGTAAAATATTTTGGCTCAGCTCCTTTGCCACTTGGGCCAATGCATTGGCAAGCTTCTATAGCATATGTGGTCAGAGTGTGAGCTGCGTGCCAGAACATCCTTGCTTCTCATTCATCTTAATTCAGTCCTGAGAGCACTAGCTCAGCCTCCCCCAACATCCTCATCTTCTGGCAGCCCATGGGTGGGGATGATAGGAGTTGTAGTCTAACATATCTGCTAGCTGCCCATTTACAGAAGGCTGTACTTGCTGTAAACAGCAATCAGGAACTGAAAAGAAAACTTGGGCCATGATCTGTTAAAATGTAGGTTCTCTTCTATCTTCCTTCAATGTTTGAGTCCGGATATAATGCTGAATGATGGCTTAGCAGTACATGTGAGAGACTGGGGCTCATGCACAGCTCCCTCTTTTGCTGGAAACTTTTGCTTGCATTAAATTCACACCCTCGTAGCATCCATTTTGAACTCACTGTGGTTGGTTGTTAAGAGCTACAAATTGCGTGAATTTTAAATATGATTTAGCACAGGCATGGGAAACACATGACCTGCTCACTCCTCTTATGCCACCTCCACTGCAGCACCCCCCAAAAAGATTTTCCAATTAGATTTGCCTTTCCTATGGCTCTGTAGCCATTTGCTGTCATATTGCAGTTTTGCCATCACCAATTCACCCCATTTGATAGTGCTGCAGCAGCCAGAGTGCAACCCATGGTGGTGGGGCAGAGGATGCCCAGGGAGTAAAAAATGGCCCTTGGACCTGCCTAAGATTACTACCCCTGATTTTGGGAAACAAGCCAGGATCAGAAATCATGGTCTGAAGTTGGTTTGTTTCACTAAACCAGGGGTCGGCAACCCGCGGCTCCAGAGCCGCACATGGCTCTTGAACCCCTCTGCTCCGGCTCCGTCGCTCAAAACACGCACCAGCACAGCCGCTGATCTGCTTGAAGCTCCACTCAGCAGCTACATTCCTCTGCTAAACAAGCTTCCTGCAGGCTCTCATGTTACACTAAAGGCTGCTGAAAGGATTCTCTTTGTCCCAATGTAATCTCCTTCATCTGAATGTTAATTCACAGCACTTGACTGTTTATCTGCTAATCAGTTACTAAACACACCTATATCCCCCGCCCCCAGCTGCAATCTAAGAAAAGAAAAGTTTCTGAAGAAGATTAGACTGAGTAGATTCGTTTGCTTTTACTGCTGACGAAGTTATGGGGTTTGCTGTTTAATGCATGCAGCCCTTTAGCACTGACTTTGACTCTTCAGGAAGCTGTTCTCCTATTCAAAATATATGAAAGGAGTCCTACTAGTTTATAATGTAAGATTAAAAATAACAGTTTTTAGTGAATGAACAAGAGCTGCACGTAAATCATAATGAAGCATCATGACATAGCATTAAGGTAAAAAACGATATATGCAGTGTTAGCTTCATTTTAGATGTCAAAAGGGTTTTGTGGCTCCCGGTGTTTTCGGTGTTTTCTTTTGTGTGGGAAACGGGTCCAAATGGCTTTTTGAGTGTTAAAGGTTGCCGACCCCTGCACTAAACCATAGTTAAGATTAATCAGTTTGTCTTGTAGCAGTTAGTTAGGCTCATTCACATAGCACTGAGCAGCCTGGGGCCTTTATTAGCCCTCTTCTGTGTTGACAAGAAGATAACAGTCTGGGGTATTTCCACAGCCCATATTCAGGAAGGTGTTGGCCTGGAGTAGATTAATTACTAAGGGCCAAACTACATGTTAGACAAACACATGTGGCTCTTGCAAATAAGGCTGGCTTGTGACCTGACAGGTGTTTTGCCTACAACTCCCAGCAGTGCTAGTCAGCACAGCCAGTAGACAGGCGTGATGGATGGTGTTGGCTGTCCCTTAAGGGAGGGCAATTGAAGGGAGTTCTGGTGAGGAAAAGAAGTGGTTAGCCTCCCTCGCCCCCGCCCAATCGGCTGCTTCCCTGCTCCAAATTGTCCATTAACAGCTTGACTCCTGAAGGGTTTTTCCAGATACTGGTTTTGAAAGATCCACACTCATTCCCCACCTGGCATCAGATCACCCCATCCTGGAATGGCCAGCTTTTAAAAGTAATGAATGTCTGGCTCTAGTTATGCATGTTAGCATATAACATGACTTTCTCCATCATGTGTCATACTAAAACTCCCATAATCCCCAGATACTAAGCAGGCTAGTTATGATGGGATTTGTAGTCTTCCAAGGAAAAGGATGGGGAAGACTGGTAGCACATAGACCCTGGCTCTAGGAACATGGGCTGCAAAATTCCCCATTCAAAATTTGCCACAGCCATGAATTCAGTTCTTAGTTGGCCAGAGGTACATCATTCTTTTTGAGCTTCAGTGGTCTCAGTTGCTAAATGGACATCATAGTGCTGATTTCCTTGTTGGGCTGTTTGTTAATTTAAGTATTTTTACCCCACCTTTCAGCCAAAATGGGCCCCAAGGCAGTTTAGAATCCTTACAGGCAAATGATAAAAGGAAAAACACAAAATGCAACAAGCAATGAAGGAAAAAGTCTGGAACTAGAAACAGCATAGCAGCTGACATAGATCAAAAAGCACTGAAAAAATATGCTCGGGAAAATGTGTCTGGTGGCTGTTTTACAGCCGCCAGTTTCTGGAAATTCTGCCAAGGGAGCCCCACACAGAATATGTTACAGTAATCTAATCTGGAAGCAATCAATGCATGTGTGAGAGCAGAAAGATTTTCTTTCTCCTGAAGAAAGGGTGCAGCAGATGCACCAAATGAAGCCATGCAATTACATTACTAGCCACAGCTAGCACTGGACTACCCTAGAGTAAATCTGGGTTCGAGAGCACCCCCAGACTACAAACTTGATTCTTCAGGGAGAATGCAACCTCACTCAAACCAGGCTGCACATATAATCTCAAGTGAGCCTTCCACCCAACCTGCTTTGGTACCAAGAGCCGCTATAGGATTCAACAGAACCAGCTGGGAGACCCTCCACATTCCCATTCACTTGTTCTCAGCATATGGCATCCATTAAGTCAAACAAGGCCATTTTGGCCACCAAACCAAGCCTAAACCCAGATGGGAAGGGAGAATGGGCCACATTCCAGTGGTAGGTGAGGCCTAAGGAAAAAAGGGACAGGGGCAAAATAGCAGCAGCCTTTAGCTTAAAGCTTTTGATGCTTTAAGATCCCCACTTTGTTCTCACCCCCTTTCTCCATGAGCCTCTCTTCACCTGCCACCTGTTTCCTTCCCTTTCTCTCTTATGGTAGCCACCTGTGAGACATTGGAAAATAAGACAGACATCACCCCAGAAATAAGGGCAAGAGCATATCAATTTGCATAAATCATATGCTGATTTACATGCAGTAGATGCAAATTTAGAGAAGATAAGTTATTAGAAATAGAGTACACCATGCCATAGGCTGGAAGCCTGTCACCATGTAATCTGGGTGCTTTGCTCAGTATGCTCTCCATGTGCTTGCTGTTGATGGGCAACTTCTAGGCTTCCTTCTCAGGGTTGTCTAACTTTACACGGGACTTGGGCCAGACAAACCTTCAGATAGAGGACACCTTCAAAATAGAGGACAGTCCTCAGGCAGCCATTCAAACAGATGATTGTTCTCTGTAAAATAGGACACATTGCCATCCTACCGCTCCCCCCCCCCCCGCTTCCTGTTTAGCCAGCTGCCAGGGGAGGGATATATAGGCTCCTCACCCCAGAGGTCTGATTGCTTACAGAGGGCTTCTCTCTTCCTCCTTCCTCCTTCCACCATGTTGCTCCCAGGCCGAGGATCACAGGTTGCCCAGTTCTGGAGAACCAGATAGAACTCCTCCAAGTGGATTTTTTTGCCCTTTCTTTCTGGCAGGGGCCAGGAAGCTGCCTCTGGGATCTCATAAGCAGAATTTGAATACGGCTTTGTGGCCACCTCTGCTGTCCATAGCTCCTGCTCCTCTAAGGTCCTTGGCAATTGAGGCTTGCTTTTTACTGCTGTCAAACAGAAAGTTGTTGAAGATGTGGTAGCTTTGACAGAAACGGATGCTGAATTGTGCTGCTGACGATGCTGTGAGGGTGTGAATTTAATGCAATGGTATTTTTAGTTGTCCTTGAGGACTGCTTGTTTTTTAATTTTTAATTTTGTTGCTTGTTTTGAAGGGATTTGTAAACCACCTTGAACACCTTCTGGGGCTACAGTGTGGGACAACAGTGTCAACATGCAACCACAAGAACAACAAATATGAACAATGCATTGAATTCTACTCCTGCCCACAAATCCGGGACCCCCATAACCCTCCCACATCTGTGAACACAATCAAACAGGTCCTTTGAAAGGCCCCAGAGGTGGAAAGGGGAGGAAATGAATCAGAGGACAACAGCGTCACTAGTCTCATGTTCAGAGGAAGCTGGCATCTGTTCAGAGTTGATTGCAAAAGCTTCCTTTGGTACCCCATGGCTCAACATACTGCAAAGATGGGAGATAAGGCCTGGCAGCATATCCAACTGCCATTCTTTGGAAGGACAGTGAAGGGGAAGCCAAAAGAACATGGTAGGCCGGGAATCACAAGCTTCAGAAGGGCAGTGGATATTTAAGGGGAGCATAAAGGGGTTTTAGGAGCTAGGAGTACGTTCCCAAAGAAGAGTAGACGACCACCAGGCCAGAAGCTGCTGTGTTCCAGAGGGAGGAAACCCCCAAATATTCCACCTTCCTGCCACTAGATGCCGTGATTGTCCCTCAGTCAGCCTAAACAGATGTGCTTAGTCTTAAAATTCTACTACCAGCACCATTATTAACACCACTGAGGAAAAATAAAATAGAAGCACAATACAGGTGTCTGTTATTTTCCCCACAGTGGAGCTAGTAGCTGCTTTAGTTTGGATTCAGAACAGAGAAAATGGTGCTATGTTAAAGGTTAAATTCCTACAGAGCTACTGCCCTTATTAAAATTTGTGCACTTGTGGCTACTTCAAATTTTGTTTTTAAAGATCTGAAGATTATGCAACTTTCATGCCATGCCTTTTTTGGCTTTTGATGTGTTTCTGTTTAAAAAAGGAAGCAAATTAATGGAGAATAGGCCAATGACTATTAACCCTAATACTTGAAGCTGCAAATTTGTGCTAATTTAGCTGAGTGTAAGCCTATTGAACTTAATGGGACTTCTAATGGATCTATTTTATGATTACATCACTTTATTAATTCAACACCTCTAGCTGTTGAATTAATTTAATTTCTGTACTGTCCAATAGCCAAAGCTCTCTGGCCAGTTCATCATAGGTACCACAACAAAAATGGATAGGATAAAAAATACAAATGGAAGGGCTGTCTCATCTAGTCTGGTTTAAAGATGCAGACCCATAAGAACTATTGCTTACCAAGAGTTTGGATCTGGACTAAATGCTGACCAAGCAGGCCCACAGGTCACAGTCTTGCCATGGTATGGTGAGCTCATGTTTCTACTTAAATTATATTAATTATTTTTGAATTTGCACTGACGTCTCTATATTAGCATATGCAAATATTATACAAATTATCCCCCCCCCCCTTTGGTGAGGCATGGCCTCTTTGGCAAATCGTTGGTACTTTCCTTTCGGAGGAGTTCAGGGCTGCAATGCAAAGTCTCCTCATTTTATTCTGATTCATGGATACCATGAGCTAAGTTAAGCTGAGAGGTGGTGATTGGCCCAACTATGGTGCTTTCAGACATGTGACTCCACCATAACCAGTTCAGAGCCATTGTGTAGTGACTCCAACTTTTGCCTCCTTTTTGTGGAAAGGAAAAAGAGATGGTGGGGAGTTACAGGAGGATTACAAGCAGAAGTCAGCAATGGCTGGATTCCCCCATAAAATTCCATGAACAAGGCAGGATGATTGCAGGATAGACATCTTTCTTGGAAGCACCCCTAGTGGGCCTTGCAGCTGATCAGGGATATGAGTCTGCTTCTTGATGAACCACATCTGAAATATTAGGTACCCCACACACACACACACTGGTTCTAGCCTAGCCTTGTCCCTGATGTACTAATTTTCTATTTTGAAGGATTATTTTGTTTGCACTGTTTATGTAGAGAAACTCTGTCATGTGCACAGTCTTTAATGGTATAGCCTGGACACAAGATTAACACATCAGGGTCAGCATCAAGGTGGGCCTGGTTGGGCATCTGCCAAGGGTCCCCACCCTGCTAGGGGATCACTTACCAAAGCCTCTTGGGGCTGCCCTTCATCTTCTCCTTTGCTGCCTCTTTTTTTTTAACCTGCCTTTTGTTTTGCCCCAGACAGGCACCTTGTACCTATTGCAAATATGGGCTACATATGATAGAATATGCATTTGTTTTGAAAATGGCTCTCTTCTGCTTTTATGGTTCATGGGCTACATTCATACGTACAACAGAGCATGAGGAAATCTCAAAGAAACTTTTAAGTGTCCAGGACAGGGTAGCCACATATCAGCTGCTAAAAAAGAGCCCATACATCATCAAAAAAGAGAACAAAAGGCAAGCTAAGTCTGCATTTCATTATTATTTGCTAATCTAGTCTTCAGATTTAGAACTCTTTATTATCATTTAAATAGAATTAGAGTGCCCCAACACAGAGGGGCTGTGAATGTCCCAAACATCCTTACTAGAGCCTCAGTTTCTTGCTAAAGTAATTTTGGGGAGAGGGAGGAAGACTTCTGCATCAAATGTTTCTTTACTTATTTTAGTAGAAAAAGTGATCCAAACAATGACATAAACATTTTTCTTTTCAGTCACTTGAAAATCAAGGGTGCTTTCAAATGAGACTTTTAATATAGGACACTTTACTGCTGAGGAAGGGAAATAAGGCTTCTGCTCTTGAATTTGAAAACTGTTTTCAGATTGGTCTCTAGATTCAGGAACACCCAGAACTAAGGGCGTTTCCAAAAGAGGGTTTTATTGTGCAGTCGCCTGGTCTTGTGTATGGAATTTTACTGAGCCATACGAAGATTCACTCAAGATGACATCACCTTCCACTGCAACGCTCTTGTGTTTGCCCACTGCTTCCTTCCTCCTTTGTCACAGGCAATCTGTTAAGGACGGAAAGGCAAAATGGCCATATGATTGCCTTCCATTGGCGACCCTGTCCAGAAGCATCCTCAACTTATGTTCAAAGGCCACAGGGGCTGAACTTTTCACAGCAAAGTCCAGGGTCTCACAATACTGGTGGCCCCATATGACTGCCCAGATGGTGGGGCAGTGGCAAACCAGCCAGCAACTGCATTGCCAAACTCCCCATTCTTATTTATTTATTAACATATTTACATCCTGCCTTTTTCCCTCTTGCAAGAAACCCAAGACAGCTTACATTGTCTTCCCCTTCTCCATTTCATCCTCACAACAACTCTGTGAGGTAGGTTAGGCTAAGAGTCAGTGACTGGCCCAAAGTCATCCAGTGAGCTTCATGAAAGAGTGGGGACTAGAACTCACAACTTCCAATGCTCTTATCCACTACACCACATGGGCTTTAACTTACATTGTAGTCATGATGCATGCTAGAATTTTAGTGATATGAAAACATGAACTCGCACATGTTCAGAGCATTTCTTTTATGAAGTAGCAGTGGGATAAAGCATGGAGTAGCCATGGGAAGAAATGTCAACTGGAATAACACACATGGCTGTCTAATGCCCTCATGCCCCATAAGATGATTATGCCCAGTGTCCCAAATTACCTCACTGCATCATTGGCTATGGCTTCATGGCTTGGGTGCTTAACAGTGGCTGAATTTCTATCTGCCTGGGTAGAATTTCTACATGCCTTGAAATTTCTACGTGCCTTGAAAATAAACCACAAATGGCTTTGGGATTATGTTTGCCATTTCCCCCCTTTATAAAAAAAAAAAAAAAAAGGCTCCCCCCATGGGGCAGCTAGGGAGTATAAACTGTATTTACACTACATGCATTTTTTTACTGTGCCTTTCCCCCAAGGAGCTCAAAATGGCACACATGGCTCTTTTCCCTTCACTGCCATTATATCCTCACAACTCCATGAGGTAGGGCAGATTGATCAAGAATGGCTGGCTCAGCTTCTTGCCTGAGGGGGATTAGAAATGGGGACTCTCTGGTCCAAGTCTAGCACACCATCTCTTTGTATTATACTTATGTGGAACACACACCCAATAAACAGGCTCATTACACACTCGCATGCATACATAAAACACCACACAGAAATGTGGTCCAGAAGGTCCTGCTGTCAGGGACATGATCAGATCTTGCTGATGCTATCACAGCCAGAGCAGGCTCTGAAGTAAGCGGGCCAGTTCTGAGAAAGAGAGGCTGATGAGAGAAAGTGATAGAGGAAGGGTGGTGGGGGTGGGTGGGTGAATTTAAGGTTGCTGAGTCCATTCTGTGAGTAGGAAGGGGGGTGCCCTCCAGCAGGCCCCAGATTTCTCTGCACCTGTCGGCAAGGGAAGGATTTATACAAAGCCCTTGGGATGTTGCTGTGCCTCCCTTCCGATCAAATCCTCCTCTCTACACAGTGCTTGATTCTTTGCTGCCACTGCCAAGAGTCTTGTGAAGAGCCAGACACTCTGGTCAGTGGTGGTATTTTAACATAACAGAGGATCTGCTTCAACTGGCTACTTCTGCATTGCCCAAAAGGATGCAGTTTTGCATAAAATGTGTATATGTTGATTTACAAGTATAGATAAGAAGTAGAAATAATAATCACTGTAATTTAAATAATTGCTATAATTTAAATAGAATACATCTCACTATAGAGGGTAAGGCTGTGACCAGGTGATCTTTGCAACTGTTCAGTCTAATGTCTGGGTAGCTTCAAGCCATTTTTTCATCCCTCTTAGGTTCTTTATCTGTAAATCAAATTGGGGGATTTCTACATTTATTATACACTTGTTATTTTCTTCAGATAATGACTTTCCCATTTAGTTTCTGTGTCTAACCAGCAGTTTCAGCAAGTTTTCTTACAGCAGGAGAAATGCAATATTTAATTGTGAAAGTGAAGGAAACTGTTCTTTTCTGTTCCTTATTTACATTATTTCACTATACCATAGTCCACCTAGAGGTTACAAGTATATAGCAGAAAAGCAGGAAAGGAAACACTTCTACTGTAGGGCAGGGATCTCAACTCTATAGTGAAACCAGGAGTAAATACTGCTGATTGACAGACTTACTTATGTAGAAAAGCAGCTGGAGTGGACAGACCTTCAATCAGAAGCCTGCCTTCTGTAAAATAGGCTTAATGGCCACCCTATGGGTGTGCTACATTCACTCAGAATAAATCCAATCAACCTTCTGGCACCATCTCAAGTTGTTAGTACTATTGCAAGTATCCAAATCTGATCAGGGCTTTAAACACATGAACAGGCAAGGCCAACTTTTTGTTCATTTAAAATATTTACACACCTAGTGGTTAAAGTGGGATTGGATGAGGAGAGATTTTCAGGTAGACTAAATGAGGGTTGGCCTAACCATTCTACTTCCCACCACATTTTGTAATCCTCCTGCTTTCTCTTCTCCCGTTTCTGAAACTGTACATACAATTTAATTTCTCATTCCCAGCACAGCTTAATAGTAGAATAATAATCAGAGAGCCACGATATATATCAAGATTTTTCAGAGAGTGGCAGAAATAAAATTAGGATCCAACCCCTTCCCTTGATTTTTGTTTATTATTATTTGTTTTGGAGATGGTCTGGTTTGGTGTTACACAGAGGTAGAAGCAGTTAATTGTCCATTGATATATCTTCTTTGGGTTTGATTTAGATCCGTGGTTTCCCAAATGTGTTTTGGAGAGACTAGGGTTATTTGGAAGGAACTTTATCGGTTTGTTTGTTTTTGTAATGGGCAGATGAATCATGGAAAACACACAATTCCTAAGAAACAGCTCAGCAATCCAGCTTAGTATGGGCTAAGTGTGTGCTCTAGAACATGCTCTCAGAATCTTTTGCCACATCCATGTGTTCTTCCACATAAGATTTTTAGGGGCTTTTCCCAATAAACAAGTCAATATTTTGTAATCCACTTAGATTACAATGGGACTATTGGCTGCAGAATGTAAATTTAATAATAAATAAATAACCCAGCCAACAAACAAATGAGTGGCAGAAATGTTCCTTGGTGGACATTTTAAAAACCACTGATCTAGACAGAAAAGGTCTACTTTATACTCAAGAAAATATAGATATTCCTCAGACACAGGGACAAGTGCATGCTTACACCATTTGCATGGGATCTTTCTCATGTGTAGAGCATTTTGGAATTGAAAGCAAAAATCTTAATAACTGCAGGTTTTCTTATGTTCATAAAAAAACCCCATGAGTTTGGATTCCTATCACTCCACTCTCTTCTAGATATGAATATTGTACATTCATTCATTTTCTAGATCCAGGCATTGGGATTCCCAGTATCCCTTCTGGTGTGACACCCTTTCCTTTATCCTCATAGGTTTCATCCTCTGTGAAGGAAAATCTACATCCAAGTAAACAATGGATTACTCCAATGTGGGGGGTCAGGACCCTGCTCCCCATTATTTGGAAGCTTCCCATTTGCAATCAAATGACAATTCAGATATCTTCTTTACTGGTTCAGAAGGTGTTGATTCTGGGGCCGTGGCCACGTATTTCTCTCGGATGCCTGAATCCTACAGACACTCTCCAGGTATGTATGTACGCAGTGAATGTAAAAGTGGTCATACCTTGAAGTTGCAGCTTCTGGTGGTTGGTTTCAGTACCTCACTCCTTTAAAACAAAACCCTGGAAGTTATAGCCTTTTCAATACCTAACCTTTTAATTACAAATGGGTGTGTGGATTGGATAGCAAAGGGACTCGGCACATTCTTAAGGGCATTTTTAGTATTCTTCCACATGTCAGGCATGAGCCATGGCAAGGAATGTAGTTCAGGGATGAAGCCTTGATGCACACTGGCTGTAAATACACTCTTCTAGTCCCTCTGGGGAGAATTTCCTGTGCCCTAAAGGAACTCTAGGAAGGCCAGGGGGTTCTGTTCCTCCGGTGTAGGCCCACAGCCTTGAATGCTTACACCCATTATGCCACCATGTGCAACTAATGGCTCTTTATTTCTTCCCTATGCCAACAGTGCGGCAATTGTATCCTCTCCTCAATGGTTTGCAGTGGGTGGATGGGCACCCGTACAGCACAGCCACATGGGTCTCCAGTGCCTCAGGGAAACCCCATGTAGGACTTCCAGTCTACACCTCAGCAACATCCTCTTATCAGACCCTCCAAGCCCCTCCCTCGCCCAAGGAGCCAAGCCCTGATGACAGCAAGGGCAGCCCCAGATACCTGGAGATGTTGAAGACGGAACGGATGAGCCCCACTCACACCGAACTGCTGCCACTGGGGACTTCGACTGGAGCAAACCATAGCCCTTATGCTATGGGGCAGGACTATGGATACTTTCAGCCGGCTGGGAGCCCTCTGACAGCAGGATACTCCCCCAAATTACGGGGGGCAACACAGCTCTCTCCTACTGGTGAGATCTTCTGCTGGGCACCAAATGTGTCACAAGATAACTTGGTCAATGAGGGGTGGAATGGAATATACCACTTGAGATGGTGGGTGGGGGATACTCTTTTCAAATCTGTCCTTGTATTAAAAATCCCTAGTCAATGGAAGACCAAGCACAGGAAGACTTCTTGACTTTGTCCTTTGGCTTGTCCTTTGGTTTCCTGTTAAGTGGAATTTGGTCCTGTTGTTGTTTTGATGTCAGGAAATGTATGAAAACGTGATTCCCCCACCATTTGACTGGCCCCACCTTGGGGAAGGCTGTGCGTCATTTCTGCCCTTCACTTCAGTGAAGGATCAAAAGATGTCTTTTGAGATCGAAGTTATGGTCTGTTCTACCAGTGGAGTCTAAGGCTGACTGGTTAAGGGGGGTGGGTGGGAAGGGGCTTTATGCTACACAGCCTGCTGCGTTCTTTGCACATTAACTGAAAGGATGGGAAACTCCTCTCATATGTAGGGCCATGGCTCAGTAATGATAGAGCACAAGGATCCATTTTCCAGGCTTGGCATCTTTATGTAGAGTGCGGAAAGATCCCTGTCTGAAAACCCTGGAAGGCCCATCAGTGTAGGCACTTCTGGACTAGATGGGCTAAAGATAGCTTGCTATAATTTTTAATTCATTTGAGCATGTGTCCTCTTTTTAATTGTTTTTCCAGTAGGCATCAATACATTATTACTCCAAAGTAGAAAATAATTAAATCCAATTTAAAACAACAACAAAAGAAAAGTATCTTGATAAAATGGAACCTGTTTTTTTCTGTTCTTTTTTTCATCCGCATCTGTACCATCTTTGGCATGTTGAAGCTCTCTTAGCACACAGGCCAAATTCAGTTTCACAAAGCTCTTAGAGGCCACATTCCACTGGTGCATGAGGCCAAAGGAAGGGGTGGGCCCAAACCACAAAAAAAAAAAAAAAATACTAGTCTGGTTTAGCTTAAAGCTTTGTCTGCCAATAACTGCTTTTTAGGAGAGCCATTTCAACTGCTTAGAATTGGGGGAAAGACAGTGCAAAAGCCAGCAAATCACCAAACGCTTAGTGGGTGGGGTCAGGGAAAGGTGGCAGGGTCATTTTGGTAATCCTGGAAGGCTGGATTTGGTCCCCAGGGCTGGGGTTCCATGCACCAACTCAGCATCTTCTTGTTTAAATGGTAGTGGGCAAATATTTGCATAGAAATGATAAATGTGCCAATCATAGGGATCATCTAAATTACATTTCCCATATTAGTACTTTGGATGAGAAATGTGCTTGTGTGGAAAATACCTCCTCAGAAAATAATCCTCTGGTTGCTAGACAGCATCTAGATTGGCCATAGGATCCTCAGGTCAGAAAATATGAGTCCCGCAACCTCAGAAAAGGGCTTTTGCGGGTGGAAAGAGGAGACCATCAGTGCCAAGATACAGTGCACTCCAACCCTTTTCCCTTCTGCTCTGAGGTATTCCCACTTAGATTGCTAAAATCAGCCATCTTCAGTGTTTGGCCGGACAGGAGATGCAAAGAGGCAGTTTTCACTTGCTCCTTTCACCCAGCATATGACGCTCATAATCTTCTGAGATTGGTGGGTTATGAGTATCCCTATTGGATTACACCCTATCAAAATGTTTTCTAATAGCTCCTTTCCACTCAATGAATGCTCAAGGTGATTGAATTTTTAAAAAGCAGCCTACTTGATCAGGACTTTCCTGTCCTTGATGCACCCACCATGGGAGCTGACCAACTATGAAATAAATTTGCAGAAGCAATCAAAAGCTAAATTGTGTGCATAAATTTGAGTGCTCAAGAGTGGAAGTATCCAGAAGCAAATGCATAAAACACATGAGTGCCAGGAGTCCATCCTGCTGGAAAATCGTAGGATACATGTTCCAGATTTGGAATATGCCACAAAAAACAGGTACTGAAGATGAATTTAGAAGTTCTTGACCAGGTTTATAGATTAGCGGGAAAACCCTAAATGAAACAAAGTGCTAGCAGACTATCTTAACCATGAAGAGATTATTCTCCTTTGCCCCATATTAAAATGAACAAATATTGCATTTCCCAGTCTTTGAGGAGCCATTGCACAAATTAATTAGGACCTGCCTGCTTTCTTGTTCCTCCCCTTCTCTTCAGCTCAGCACTGCATCAGAAATTATAGTAGCATTTCCTAGACGTGAAAGGCTTCTCACCTTATTTATGTATTTATCATTCTTTTTAGTTCTTTCAGGGCAAACCATTTTAAGGGAGCACACAGATTTTAAAAAATACCCAAAGTGGATTCAACAAAAACGAATAAAACCTATATAAAACCACATTAGGCATCCACCATGTTGAAGCTAAGCAGGACTTGGGCTATCCTAAGCTTGGAAGGGAGACCGCTTGGGTACCACATGTAACCACTTTGAGTTCTACAATGGGAGAAAGGTGGAATATAAATATAGCAAATAAGTAAAACTAGAAGTTACCAATAAAATCAGTAAAAACAAATCAATGTATAAAACCAACAATCCAAGCATGGCAGGAAGCACAGTGGAAACAAATGAGGCTTTTTAGCACTTTCCTGATGACTGGGTGGAGCTGTTATGCCCTCTTTTCTTGATGTTCTGTCTCCATCTGTTCCCTCAGAGGCACGTGAATGTGTGAATTGTGGAGCCACAGCCACACCCCTGTGGCGAAGGGATGGCACCGGTCACTATCTCTGTAACGCCTGTGGGCTCTACCACAAGATGAATGGACAGAACCGGCCTCTCATCCGGCCCAAGAAACGCCTGGTATGTCTTCCCTCTTCCCTCAGAGATCACTACTTTGCTGTTATAATAAGTTTTCTCTCCCAGCATTACAGTTGTCTGTCTGTCTAAGAGCACACTCTTGTACATGGAGAAAAGTCAAACCAAAATGCTGGATGGGGAACATGGGGAATTGTACAACGTTTCCCATTGAATCATGCACAGAATTGTGTCCTAAATGAGCAGTTTTTAAAGAGCTGCATTTTCTAAATTAGTAAGTTGCAGCTGCAAATAAGCAAACCCTAAAGGGTTGGAGAGTGGGGAAGATGGGAAATGATGGTAAATTAGCGTGAAAGGAGCTAACCTTTCCCTCTGTAAGGGTGCAGACCCAACTGTGATGGTCTGCCCTCGGAGCCAGATGGTTCTGGATGGATTCCTGAGGGCTCTGGGGGATTTTCCAGTTGATAAAGCTGGCGCTTCTGTTGATGCTCTGGTTGAACTGTGGAATGGGGAAATGGCCAGAGTGATTGACACGATCACCCCTAAGCGTCCTCTCCTGCCAAGCAGAGCCTGTCCATCTCCATGGTATACGCCTGAGTTGCGGGTGATGAAGCGGGTTGGGAGACAATTAGAGCACAGGTGGAGGAAATCATGGGATGAATCTGACCGAACATGCTTACGTGCTCATTATCAAGCCTATGCTGTGGCGGTGAGGGCGGTGAAGAAGAAATCCTCACAGTGCCGTCCAGTGGAGTTTTTTCGAGTGGTACATGGGCTGATATACCCCGGCCCTAAGAAAGATCCTTTTCCACCATTGATGGCCCGCTGTGATGACTTTGCCCAGCACTTCAAGGAGAAAATCGCTCAGATTCATCATGAGCTGGACTCCACAATTGATTCAGATCCCTTAGGGGAGACACGAATGACCCCGTCTGGTCAGGTATTAATGGATGAATTTCAGTTAATGCAGCCCAATGTTGTGAACAAGGTGCTTGGACAAGTACGCCCTGCCACCTGCTTACTCGACCCTTGCCCTTCGTGGCTGCTGACCAAAGCCAAACACGGGATTGGTTCCTGGATCCTGGAGGTTATTGATGCCTCTCTAAGGGACGGCCGGGTGCCCGCTCCTTTAAGGGGAGGCGGTAATCAGGCCTGTCCTAAAGAATGCATCTCTGGATCCAGAGATGGCCGCCAATTATAGACCGGTGGCCAACATCCCATTTTTGGGCAAGATGTTGGAACGGGTGATGGCAGAACAACTCCAGGTACACTTGGATGAAACCGATTATCTGGACCCATTTCAGTCTGGCTTCAGACCTGGGTATGGTACTGAATCTGCCTTGGTCGCCCTGTATGATGACCTGTGCAGGGAGAGAGACAGGGGGAGTGTGTCCCTGTTGGTTCTCCTGGACCTCTCAGCGGCTTTCGATACCATCAACCATGGTATCCTCCTGGATAGGCTGGTGCGGTTGGGAGTAGGAGGCACTGCTTGGCAGTGATTCCGCTCATACCTTGAAGGCCGATTCCAGAAGGTGGTGCTGGGGGACTATGGCTCTGCGCCATGGCAACTATGCCATGGAGTATCTCAGGGTTTCATTTTGTCCCCTTTACTATTTAATATCTACATGAAACCACTGGGAGAGGTCATAAGGAGGTTTGGGCTGCAGAGTCATCAGTATGCTGATGACACCCAGCTCTATCTCTCTTTTTTGACTGATCCAGGTGAGGCAGTGGCTGTACTGAACCGGTGCCTGGCCGAGGTAATGGGCTGGATGAGGGCCAATAAACTGAAGCTCAATCCAGATAAGACAGAGGTTCTGTTGGTCGGTGATTCTTGCTCCTGGGTAGATGACTTGGGCCTTGCCCTGGACGGGGTTGCACTCCCTCTAAAGGACAGAGTCTGCAGCTTGGGAGTGCTCCTCGACCTGGAGCTGTCCTTGGAAGCCCAAGTGACAGCGGTGGCGAGGAGCGCTTTCCTTCAGCTTCGGTTAATCTATCAGCTGCGTCCCTACCTGGAGGAAGATTGCCTAGCAACAGTAACACACGCATTGGTTACTTTCCGGTTGGACTTCTGTAATGCGCTCTATGTGGGGCTGCCCTTGAAGACAGTCCAGATACTTCAGATGGTTCCAAATAGAGCTGCCAGGATGCTGTCGGGAACTAGGCATTATTCTTATATAACCCCAGTCCTCTATCAGGTCCATTGGCTTCCCATCGAAGTCTGGACTCAATTCAAGGTGCTGGTTATTACCTATAAAGCCCTAAATGACTTGGGACCAGGATACCTTAAGGAACGCCTTTTTCCCTATTTGCCCTCCCGCCCCCTGAGTTTGGCAACAGAAGCCCTCCTCCAGGAACCCTCTGTGGAAGACGTTAGGAGACAGAGTACCCAAAGGAGGGCCTTCTCTGCGGTGGTGCCCTGACTATGGAATGCGCTCCCCAGAGAGGTCCGCCTAGTCCCGTCTTTATATGCTTTTCAGCGCCAGGTTAAGACCTTTTTATTTAATTAATATTTTAATATGTTTGAATATTGAATTTTAATATTGTATTTCCAGCCAGAGTGGGTTGTCAATTTATTTATGCTGTTAGCCATCCAGAGACGCTGGTAATTGGACAGCATACAAATTTCATAAGTAAATAAATAAATTTCTAAAGCATTAAGACATTACAGAATAATAAATATGTAATAAAATGACAATGTTTGACCTCATATAGAATAAATACATTCCATTATGGAAACTGCAGAATAAAGTCTATTTCTTCTCTTGATAGGATGAGTTTATTAGTCTTGGCTATCTCCAGTACATTTTGTTAACTTCTCCTTTGTACACATTGTACACTAAGCACACTTTTCTCATATTGTGCCCGGAAAATCTGAAAGTCATGAAAACATTTCAAATACAGTCACCTCAATGCGAAAGAAAGATCACAATCAGTAATATTCATAATCAAGTAAAATCGTTCAAATCTGTACTTTCCCTTGTAGTATGATAAATTACATCAACTGTTGATAACAGTGAGTGGTGGCATTGGAAAATGCTGGCAAGAGCAGCAGGGATGAAATCTGTGGTGCCTAGAAGCCAAGGGTGTAAATCCTACAGAACTTGCACCAAAGTAACCTGGTATGGAAGACCCACCACTCTAGAAGTTAGACAGGAATTGTATTACCAATCTCCAACAAAAGCAGAACGCCAGGAAACTCCTGACTCCACCCAGATACTGCTTACTCCAGTGCCACCTGGTGACTGAACTATATAATGACACTATCCACACCCATTCCCCCTTTTGTTTAAACAAACAGTTCAACAAATTAGAATCGTTGTTAGGGAGTTGATATATTCAGTCACCCTCATTTCTAAATCTTCCAAATAATTTGTCCAGAGCCAGTGCTGAACTGTGCTGTAACATCACCATCAGCCTTAAAAGACTGCTCTGGCAGAGTCTTGGTAAATGAACTTGGTTTTTCAGGTACTGTTTGGCATTTGGTGATTGTACCTTTTTAGGAACAGGAGAAGATGTGGTCATGACGAGTTCCACAATCATTTTCTCAATAGAGAGTGTTCCATATTTAACTCAGGCAGCACCTGGAATCAGGTGTGTCTCTTTTCCAATGTTTGCTATCAGTTCTCTCTCTCTTGACTTGAAATGTGATTTTCTTGCAGTGAACTGTGCCCATTATAGAAATATTCATATTCCCTTGATCATTTGAGATGGAACCTTTGTCCAAGGCAGGCCATTTTGGAATGAAATACTTCTCTAGAGTTGATATGGGTGTTCTACTTTGCCCTTCCATTAGCAATTCCACTGGGCCATATCCTGTAGCTTTCAAAGGTGCTGACCTGTAGCTTAAGGAGCAATACATGGGACATTCTGTCTCAATAATTTATTTGCTGCCTGTCTGTACTCTCTCTATTTACCTAACTGTGGCTTGAGGATAGTGAGGGTTAGCAGGTCATGCAGTAACATTTCTAAGATATCCAGAATGACTAGAATTCTGCTACTGTACATTGGGTTGCATCACTGGCTTCCAGTCCCCTTGGCATCCCAAAGAAAACAAAGGTATTTTGATGCTGTGGGTATTTTTATGGCTGATCTTTCCCTCACTGATCCTTTTGGGCAGATCAGGAAAAAAGGCTTCCAACTGCATACTTTGCATGTTAAACTGGCCAGTTGGGCAGGCTTTGTAATACAAAAGATGAGTAGTGTAGAAATTAACAAAAGACTCCAGCAAGGTTAGAATGTCAGCAATTAAGAAAATATGGCTCAGTGCTAAGCTGGTTCCAAACTGGATCCTCTTCCTCTTTCCCAGCCAAAAGGCGTTCACCCCAACTTCAGGGTGGCTCTTACTGCTTCTGATTCAGATGGTGGGAATGTTGGATGCTATTCAGTTGCTCTGCCCTTTCCATCTGGTGCTAGACTATGATCATGTTACTCATACTCCCATCTGACTCTGTTCAGTAAAGTGTCCCACAGAACCAAATGTGGTCTGGTTCTCACTGGTTGCTTGGCCTGTGGTTGGGCCTGCTGGCCTTGGCATTTCAATGGAGAATTCTGACCCTACCGTACTGGTTTATGCAAGAAAAGTTTCTCAGAATATTCAGTTTTCCCAGGCTGTAAAATGGGAATGATGCCCTACCCCGGTTACAGCACTGCAATAAAGAATTAAACAAAAATTGCAAAGCCTAATCTGCCCAGAGACCCTCAGCTATTGGGTTGTATAGAAATGAATAAACAAATAATATGCTCCCCTCATGCAATTGTGGAAAGGATCTGTTTCTATAATTAACCACTGTCATATTCAACTACGCAGATTGTCAGCAAGCGAGCTGGAACCCAGTGTAGTAACTGCCAAACAACAACCACCACACTCTGGCGTCGCAATGCGAATGGAGAACCCGTGTGCAATGCCTGTGGCCTCTATTTCAAGCTCCACAACGTAAGCAGAAGCAGTGAGAGGGTGGGTGGGAGGGGGAGAAGGGGCATCTGTGTGAATGTGACTGATTCCAGCCAAGAATGGCTTGGAACAAAGGGTCCAGGGTGGCCTGCTTCACAGAGGACAATCTTCTATTTGAAGAGCTATCAGTCCTCTCTTTGATGGGCTGTCCAGTCCATGTCTGGTTGAAAGCCAAACCCTCAAGAGGAGAGCAGGGAGAGGCCTGAAGCTACCCATCTGCTGTCAGGACTTGAATAGCAAACTGAACAGGCACTCAGCGCCTTGGCTCACCATCTTCCCCACCCTGTTTTTCAGTTTGCATATCTACATACTAATCATCCCATGTGCATTTGATTTGAATTGCTGTCCCCTTCTGCTGTTATTTTTGGTGATCTATTTTCTTGTTCCTGCATATGCCTAAACTGGGCACCTTATGTACTCCTCTTCCTTTGCTGGATCACACCGCACACCATGTAAGAGAGGGGAAGCATTATTATGTTGGTTTTATGCCGAATGAGGAAGGGCACTGAACAACATATCTCCTTCTGACACCTGGTAGCCTCTTATCCCCACCCAAAGGATTGGTGATGACTCACGTCAAGGTACAGGCAGTTCCCAAATTACAAATGTCCAAGCTATGAACAACCCATACTTGTAAACAAACTGCCATAAAGCGTATTCATTTTTTTTAAATTACTGCAGGAAATTGTCATCACCATTGAGAAATGATGCAATACGGGAGAGAGGGAGGCCTCCAAAGCAGGCCTTCCTGCTCACCCATGGAGAGGAAAATCGCTCTGGCATTTCTTGGCTGCAAAGAGGAAGCACCGATGAGTTGACCGGGGGTGGGGGGGGGTAGAGATACTAGTGGTTTTCCATTTTCACGGGGGTCTTGCGCCCCATAAATGTAGAGGAACACGTGAACCAACTTACATACAAATTTAACTTAGAAGACAAATTTCCATTTTCTCAGGAGAGGAACTTGATCATAACTCGGGGACTGTCTGTATACATTTCTCTGGAACTGAGAAAATACTTTTCCATCATCATAATTGCACTGCTAACGTTTTTGGAATTATAATATTTTGGATTCTATAAAGCTGTCAAAAAGTCAGTACAAGGCTAACAGAATGCCCACAGTTTATCCTGCATGTGCTTTAAAACAGGACATTCCCAGCTCAAATCTTAGCATTGCTATAAACTCAAGTAGTGGCTTTGAACAAGCCATCCTGCCAAACAACACTATATACATGTTATTTAGATCTGATGGCACCTCCTTCTAGAACAGCCCTCACCAACATTGTGCCATCCAGATGTGTTAGCATTTCTCACCTGCACTCGGGCTGGTGGGGGGGCATTTTCAGCAAAGTGGCAGCAGAGGGGTTAACATTTTGCCTACCTCTTATCTGCAACTCCTGTTCCTCCTAAGATTAGGACCACAGGTTTCCTACCCCTGGCCTAGATGTTTTGGTGTAAAGGAACACTCATCCTTCACTCTTGGCAATGCTGCCTAGGGCAGATGGGAGTTGCAGGCCAGAACAAAGAAGGCCACAGAATGTCCACCAGTGGCATAGAGGGTAATCTTTCCTAACCAAATTGTACAAGATGGATGTGAGATAGATAGATAGATAGATAGATAGATAGATAGATAGATAGATAGATGTTTGTTTGTTTGTTTGTTTGTTTGTTTGTTTGCAGTTCTGAACAAATAAAAATTATGCCCCCCACCTGGTCTGATCATTTGCCGTGAAGCATAACAGTAGTACTAAAAATGACCAAGAATTAAGTTGGATACTATTTGCTTGCTTTCATTATTAAATCGACAGTTCTTCATTACTGCCCCTTTACATCAGATCTATGATTAGAGCATCCCACAGAGGGATACTAGCTCAGTGGCAGAGCAAATGATTTGCATGCTGAAGGTCCTGGGCTCTGGCCCCTGCAGGTACAGCTGGGAAAGACACCTTTCTAAATACTAAGCTGAATGGACTAGCGGTCTGACAGCTTCCTGCGCTCCTGTATTCCCTGGACCATTAAGCTGCTCAGTCTCCTCTGCTCTCCCCCTCTGAATTTTGGCACCCCAAGTGTTTGCTTCTATATTGGGCCAGCAAGGTACATCTATCCTCTATCTGCACTATATACTGCAAATTGAAATGTTCAATTGATACCCCAGATATCCAAGACTGCATATCACTCTAGCTGTCTTGAACCAGACCATTCCCTTATAGAGTCATAGAACAGCAGGGTTAGAAGGCCAAGAAGACCATCAGGTCCCATCCCCTGCTGGTACAGGATGTCAAGTCACACCATTCCACTCAGGTGACTGTCCGTTTTCACCTTGAATGTCTCTATTGTGGGAGAGCCCACAGCCTCTCTAGGCAACTGGTTCCACTGTCAGGTTGCTCTGACAGAAAGTTTATCCAGATGTCTAGCCTGAATCTGGTGTCCGTAATTCAAGTTAGTTGTTCCATGTCCTATACTCAAGGATGAGTGAGGTCTTTTCCTTTCTCTTTCTGACACCTTTTGAGGTATTCATAGAGTGCTCTCATATCATAGTCTTCTCAATGCAAAACATGCCCTGCTCTCCCAGCCTCTCATCACAGGGCTTAGTTTGCCCTCCTCTGAACCCTTTATAGTTTTCTGCATCTTTCTAAAACTTGGGTGCCCAGAACTGAACACAGTATCCCAGGTTAGGTCTGACTAGTGCAGATTTAAGGGGAACCTAGCACCTCTCCGGCTCTGGAAGTGATGCTTCTATTTATGCATCCCAAAATAGCATTTGCCCTTTTGCAGCTGCATTGCATTGCTGGCTCACATTTAGCTTGTCGTCTACAACAACTGCTAGGTCTTTTTCTTTTTCAGTGCTGTTGAGTCAATTATTCCCCATCTTGTTTCGATGCATTTGGTTTTTTCCCCTAGGTAGAGAACTTGGCATTTGTCCCTGATGAATTTCATTCTGTTGCTTTCTGTCCAGTGTTCTAGCTTTTCTAGGTCACCATGGATCTTCTTTTTATCTTCCGGGGTATTAGCTATTCCACCCAGTTTTGTGTCATCTGCAAATTTTATTACTCTTCCCTGGACCTCCTCTCCTAAAGATGTTGAAGAGCACTGGTCCCAGGACTGAGCCCTGTGCCATCCCACTCATTACCCCTTTCCCACTTGAGAATTTGCCCTTGATGAGCACATTCTGTGACCAATGTTGTAACCAGTTGTGGATCCACCTAATAGCAGTTCTTTTGAGCCCACTTTTTGCTAGTTTATCAGGATGCCACGGGGCAATTTTTGGATGCTTTGCTAAAATCTAGATAAATTGTGTCCATAGCATTTCCGCTGTACATTTGGGAGGTTACCCAGTCAAACAATGAGATTAGTTTGGCATGACTTATTCTTAAGAATTCTGTGTTGGCATCTATTCATCACTGCATTTTATTCAGGGTGCTTGCAGACTGATTTTTTAATAATTTGCTCCAGTATTTTCCCAGGGATTGATCTTAGATTGATGGGGCGGGGGGGGGGGGGGGGGTCTACATTCCCTGATTAATCTTTTTTCCCTTCTTGCCCTTAGGCTCCAAAACACCAGACAGTCCTTTACAATGCAGATCTTTTTTGGCACTTTGCAGCTAATAGGACAATGCAACTCTAAGAGCCCTCTAGCAAGCTGAATAATAAGCCTCTGCACATGTAGAGAGTTGAACCCAAACTGGAAACTTCTCCCCAATCCTTTCCTTCATCCTCAGGGTGTCTCCCACTGGTGGAAGGCCAGCCAAACCTGTGCAAGCCCTCTACCTGGGAAGCTCATCTCTCCCAATGCCTCATCATAGGCAAGGCACCAATACTCCCCTCTCTTCCAAAATGTGTCTGCTCTCAGAGTCAGTCTGGGAAACTGGGGGCAGCATCCTTGATGCTCCTCCTGCCCACCTTTCACCCCTTCCTTGGTGTCCTTTTCAGAATCTGGCAACACAGGCCCTTGGAAAGACAGCAGAGTGAGTGCTGGGCCCATTCACTGCACTAGTAACCCTCTAGAGGGCCATAAATTGTTCTCCTCTGCTTTAATCTCTTTCCACAATTCCATGTTTGGGTTTGTTTGTTTGTTTGTTTGTTTGGTCCTTCTGCCCTGCCTTCTGATCCCAGTAGCGATTTCTGGTCCTTGACCTCTCTGGATCACATACTGACTCATGAGTGCTTTTTGTACCTTCCAGGTGAATCGTCCCTTGGCGATGCGAAAGGATGGGATCCAGACACGGAACCGCAAGGTCTCTTCAGCCAAGTCCAAAAAGCGCAAGGGAAATTCTGGGGATTCCTCAGTTGCCACAAGTGCCCCCTTGGAGATGATGCCGCCGCCGCTGATGGGGGATGAAGCCGCTGCCCTGTACAGCCTCAGCCCCATGATGCTGCCAGGACACTTGCTTCCCTTTGGACCCAACCCACACCTTCTAGGGCCTCCACCAGGCTTCCCTCCACAGGCCTCTCCTGCCTCCCATGGCTCCCCTGGAGTCGTCTCTGCACTGGGGTAAACAGCCTCCTGTAACAGGGCCCAGACAGTCAAGTGCAGAGACTCTGGGACTGAACTGCGGAGGGAGTAGCATCTTATCAGCTCATAACCTTTTGAGGCAGCCATTTTAAGTGCTTGCAGTTAGGGCCCCTTGAAATGACAGGTGAAAGATGCCCACGGTAGGAGGGACTTATTTCTTCAGTCTGCCTTCTCAGATAGAGACTATTCTTACAGGCTGAAGACACCATGATGATAAAGGGTATGTGTGTTCCCCAGTTGTAAGATTTCAGATTGCAGGTGGGGGATCACATGGTTGAATGCTTCTAAATATTTGTGGGGGAGGACAAATTACCCATGCAAAATCAAATCAGCAAATGAGAGAAAGGACTAAGCTAGAACCCTTCTTCCTGACATCTGCTTGCTCATTTGTGGAGTTTATTGTAATACACGGAGGTACGTTATCATGCAGTCCCCTACCTGCTTTCCCAAAGGAACAGTTTCACCATCTTATACACCATCACATCTGTTGTTTATGTGAAAAAGGCCACAGACTGAAGTGAGCTCTCCAACTCCCCCTTTTTGCGGTTCCCTCCCCCTAGCCACAAATAACTGCTCTCCATCCAGCTCCACACATACTCTCTCTCTTGCTCATTCTGCAGCCCCTCCTCAGCTACTCAACCTAGGTCTATCCATCCACCTGAATAATCTGCATCTACTTTTCTTTATGGCTATGAACCCCCTGAGGAATACTTCACACAAGTTTCCTGTGTATGGAGCTGCAGCCTTGATTGCATGGTAACAGGGCCATTGTGTACATTTCCTCACCATCACTCAGACTGGTAGATTTGGGCTTTCATGACCTGAAGCCATGATTCTGCACACAACATAAGAGCTGTGTGGGAATGTACTGCGGGTCCATCTAGACTAACACTGTTTGGAAAGTGGCCAGCCAGCTGCCCATGGAAAACCACAAGCGGGATTGAGTGCAGCAGCAGCACCTACGCACCCAAGTTCCCCAGCAAATGGGGTAGATAGGTATACTGCCCCGATACTGAAGGTAGCATATAACCATCAGGATGAGTGGCCCTCACCTGTTCTTGTGGAAGGGTATGCCATCGTTTAACTGTGCTCTTGGTGAAGAAGGTCTTTCTCTAATCTTTTTGAAATCTCCTACCAATTACCTTTATGCGAGGACCCTTTGGGTTGTATTAATATGACAGAGGGAGAAAAAACTCTCCCTACCCGCTTTCTCCACAGCATGCATCATTTTGAATGCCTCTGTCATGTCTTTCCTAACTCAGCTTTTTCTGAACACAATAGCCTCAGGGACTACCCTATACCAGGGAGATGCGCAAATGCAAAACTGTCTGGTGTCATTTTTGTGATGAAGAGCATTTGCATTCATTGTTTGCCATGTGTGTGACGAATTCCCTTTGCCTTTTTTGGCCATCAATCACTAACCTTCATATGTGCCCTTGTATCTACCACCTGATCCTCTCCATGGGCTAGGCTGTAGTGGTGCGGAATGTGAGCTCTCCATGTTTTGCTGGTCTGCACCTCCCATCAGCCTTGGGCAGCATAGTCAATAGTGAGAGATGCTGGGACTTGCAATTCAAAGGCATAGACAGAAAGACAGGAAGCTGCTGCGTCCTTGATACAACTCGGCTCAATACTGTCAACACTGACTGGCAGTGGCTCTGCAGGTTTCAGGCATGGCTGTTTCCTTGCCCTGCTTCGACATGCCAGAGACTAAACCCGGAGCCTTCTGCAGGCAAAGCACCAGTAAGCTACAGTCTCTCCCTGAATGTTCCCAGTATCTTTGACAGGGCAGGCAAACAGCAGTCTGAGAGTTCAGTGCAGTTCCCCAGAGCTTCCCATCTGCCCACCCCCCAGGTCTCCCTTCCAAGGCCTCTCCCCAGATTCATATCTTGGTTGCTTTCTCCAACACTGCCAAATGACACTTTTGCTCATTGCACTCCACTCTGAAAATCAGCAGAGAGGCTGGCAAAAGTCTCTCCTTGTGTATCTGAGCCACTTGATCCCATTTGTCTGTATGGGGACAGTTTATACTGTTTCTGCGGCAGGACAAAAAGGGTTGGGGTGTAGTGTGTAATTAAGGTTGACTTCCTTTGGGAAGAGGTCGCAAGAGGCATATGGCCTTTTGTAATATTCACATTTCTTTACAAGTACATAGTTTGAGGTGGAGGTACAGCTCCAACAGATTGCCCCAAATCCTCTTGATTCTGGGCAGGCTGCCAGCACCCAGATTGCTTTTCAGGGTTCAAAACAGATTTCTGTGTTTGCACTCAGTCTGCCTGATACTGCAATTTGCCAATCTGTTCTTCTTTGTACATCCTGATCAGGCTTGATTATTTCATCTTTAACTTGAGGTTACAGAGAAGTCAGCCTCTTGTCTAAGGGTTTTATACTAAAAGCAATTACTCAGCTTTTTAGTTACCATGGCAATATAACCATCAAAGAAAAGCAGCACCTTGTTGAGCCTGGCCTGTGTTATTAATCTCCTGTCTAAACTCCAGTTTAAAAATCACCTGTTGGAACAGACCCTGGAGGTCATCCAGTCCAACCCCCTTAAACTTACAGCAAGATGATCAGCAAAGCTTTTGACCCACATGCTTTGATTCCTTGGTCTGCAGAATGGAAGAACCACATGCTTGAATGCTCTCTTGTAGAATATCTGCACACACAATCACCATGAAGTAGTTCAATCCGGGAAGGGCTCTACCATGTGTTTCTTCTGGCTGTATAAGTTGTCCTTTTGTCTTGGAAGGAGTGAGTGCTGTGGGACATGATAATGTTGGTTGGATTTTCTGTGTCACAGTGAGCCCCATCTTGTGTGGTTTACTTCTTTTTTAAAAGGGGAAAGTCTACCAATGTGTTTTAAATGTATAGAGCTCCCTAAGACAGACTGTAGGCAAATTGCAGTTTGACATAAGAATATACCTGTTGTTGAAGGATGTAAAAGCTGCCTTGCTGAATCAGGCCGAAACTCACCTAGTTGCAAGAATTCCAGTTCTGCATAGTCAGCAGCAACTTACACTGGGAGGGTCTACCTGAATTTGCTCTGCATGAAACTATCAGGATGCATTCTGCCGTTCACCTCTTCCTATTCTATACAAACATATCTCCAACTACTCTGGAATGGACAGAAAATGCTTTTCTGAGCTCCCATTCATATGTTTGCTCTTCTAGCATCATCAAAATCAATCCAGCCTACCCAAACCCTCCTTCCCACCTCTCATATGTTCTCTCCCTGTGCATTGATATCACACATGCTTCTCTGAAAGACCACAAACCACAAGAGGGGAGAAAAGAATAGGGGGCATGTGTCATTTTCTGACACAGGTAATAACCATGGTCACTTTGTTGGCTTTTGTAAACCTGCTGCGCTTCCATCAATATCCTGCTATTTGGGGCTGAAATTTGTTTCAAGGTTCCTGAGAGCGTGTGAAAAAGATGTATAGAGTACCTTGTGTTAACAACAGAAATGTCAGGGTGAATGTCATTTCTATAGGTCCAAACTATGGCATGGCTTGGGGTACAGGTGATGAGTTCCCCACATAGAGTGCCAGCTTTTCCCAGTGCCTTCTGAAGTATTTTGTGTAATTCAATGAATGTTTGAAATAAATTCTAATTCACATGGGTCACAAACGAAATGATTGCACAGGCCTCACTGAAATAAACGGGAGCTGTACAAGAAGATGGTTGCTTGCCTCTCAGTAGGACCAGCCTCTGTCAGGAGGGTGCTCCCCTTTCTGAGACTAATGGGAAATGTGTTAAGCTTCAACAGGCTGGCACAGCCCATGATTCTCCAGTCTGAATGCACCCCACTGGGGTGCAATAAACACTGTTTTTGCTATGTACCTGGGGATGCAGAAACAAAGAGGGTGATAAGGGCCTGACAGATAACTATACATACCTGCTGGTGGACCATGTTCAGTTTGGGGGTAGGGGCATAGCTTGTGCACGTAGAAAACCAAAGGTGGACCATGCCAGCAATTTATTTACTATACTCATTAGTGCAGCTGCTGGAGCTGGGACAGAAGTCAGCTGGAATCCCTTAGTCCTCAGCTTCTCCTTCAGTGCTGAGGAGAGCAGCTAGACCTGTTGTTTATAGCAATGCAGGTTTGTGCAGCTCTCTGGATCAAGGCTGCTCTGGGGCTCCATCTGGTAGCTAGAACCAAAATGTCCACCTCAGTATTTGCAAGATCAGTCCCATGCCCTGCAGGAGCTCTCATCCTCCTGATGAGTGCCAGCTGGGAGCCCTGCAAAGAGAGCTGTATAAGAGCAAGATCTTTGCTTCAGAATTCACCTCAGCAACACAGACCACCCTGTCTGGTGTAATGGCTGCCTGCTCCTGCCTTTCTGTCTCACCTCAGCAATGCAGCCATGCCACCTGTGATACAGTGTGGCTCCTGCACCTTGCCTGACCCTTGCTGCATCTGGATCCTGCTGTGTCTCCTACCTTGCTCTGTTGCCTCAGCAATACAGGTTTTCCTGCTAGCTGTGGTTCAGCTCCTATATCTTGCCTGCCTCTTGCCATGTATCCTGCCCCAAGGTATTGGCACTTCTGTCTTCCCAACTCTCTGCCTTTGAGCTTATTCATGACCACATCTTTGTTCTGCCCTGATCTGCCCTTCTGCTTCCTGACCCTGGCCTGTTCTGTCAGTCCGACCTGGACTTGCTATCAAACCCTGTTACTGGACTCTTAGCTCTGCATCTCTGCAGGTTCTACTGCCTGGTCAGGGTGCCTCTGTCCTGTCTCCTGCTGCCCACATCCCAGCCACTGACAATTGCTGGCAGTCCACATAGGTGAGCACTTTGCTAGATATGCACCACATTACTGATTTTTGTCTACATCCCCAGCAGAGTGGACAGACTTCAGTCCTGGCACCTATTTGGTATGCCACTGAATATGTGATGCAACTAGAATTATCTGAGCATGTGTCAAATGTCTTCATTGCAGCCACTGATTAAGCATAGACACATGTCCTTTATCATGTCAAAAGCAGGCTGGAGTTTGGTTGTGTTTTTACATTTAGGAGGAAACTATATATTACACTACAGCTATATGTAATAAAGCCCTGAAGGACCTTTCTTTGGAAAACACCCTTGAAAGAGGGTGCTCTGTGTCACAGAAAGGATGAGAGGCTTCTCCCATCATGCCAGGTTCAATGTTCCAGTACCCAGCTTTCCAGCCCTATGTGTCTCACAATTTCACCAACAAGGAAAGTTCTTGATTCTGGTATCAAAGCTAGGAATGTGTGTCCTACAAGTGAAAACAGACTATAGGCAATAAAGCAGCTCTGGCTATTTTTTAAAGTCTCAGTCCAGTGGTCCCTTTACGTACATACAGTTTTGTAAGTGATGGCCTAGCCTACCAGAAGTCCAAAACAAGCTTGGCTTTTTAAGAGTTCTTGGAATTTTAGAGATGCTTTCTATAGCACCATCAATGCATATATTGTGCTTTGTTGTTGTTGCTAGTTGCAAAGATGTACCCATTGGGAGCCCATGGGCAACATTCCTCCACCCTTTCCTGTCCTGCACCATCCCTTGGAGTGCACCCAAGCGCACACCCACTGCCCCAGTGACTCCATCTAGCCATCTCATTCCCTGCCATCCCCTTCTTTTGCCATCAATTGTTCCCAGCATTAGGCTCTTCTTCATCATGGCCTCTGTGCATCACACATATGGGTGCTGCACCTGCGCAGTGCCTAAGGCCGGAAGATTAGAAAGCTAATGGTTTTTGGTGGGAAACTCTGCTCCCCTCCCCCTCAGTAGTATAATAGAGCGCAGTGTCCGCCATTTTCCCCAGTCTTTTGCGACCGCCGTTTGCTGTGCCTTGTGCCTGTTCGACTCTCGCTTTGACTACCGTATTTGCTCCTTTTACTCTTATCGTTCTTATTGTTCTTCATTGTTATTACTCCAAGTTGTTTTTTCCCTTGTTATCTCTCTCTCTCTCTCCCTCTCCCTCTCCCTCTCCCTCTCTCTCTCTCTCTCTCTCTTTTCTTTCTTTCTTTCTTTCTTTCTTTCTTTCTTTCTTTCTTTCTTAAAACATTTTTATGCCGCCCCATTCGCCGAAGCCTCGGGGCGGCTTAAAACAATAAATAAAACCAATAAGTTAAAATATACATATAAATAATCATAATAATTTAAAACACACAATATAAAATAAGCCGCCCTGGCCAGATAAAATTCAGTGGTATTAACATTTAAAATGTTGCTTAAATAAAAAGGTCTTCGCCTGGCGCCGAAAAACAAATAACGACGGCGCCAGGCAGACCTCTCTGGGGAGCGCATTCCATAACTTAGGCGCCACCGCTGAGAAAGCCCTCCTCCAAGTAGCCACCCTCCTAATTTCTCTCACAGGGGGCTCCCGGAGAAGGGCCTCTCCCACCGATCTCAGGGGGTGACTGGGCATATATGGATGTAAGCGCTCCTTCAGGTAACCAGGACCCAAGCCGTTTAGGGCCTTATAGGTCATTACCAACACCTTGAATTGGGCCCGCACTTCAATGGGGAGCCAGTGAAGCTGACGGAGAACTGGAGTCATGTGAACATAACGTCCAGTCCCCGTCAGCAGCCTGGCAGCTCTATTCTGCACCAATTGAAGTATCCGGACCATCTTCAGGGGTAGCCCCACGTAGAGCGCATTACAGAAGTCAAGACGGGAAATCACCAGCGCATGAGTCACTGTTGCAAGGCAGTTGTACTCCAGGTAGGGACGCAGCTGATGAATCAGCCGAAGCTGGAGGAAAGTGCTCCTCGCCGCTGTTGTCACCTGAGCTTCGAGGGAAAGCTCCGGGTCGAGGAGCACTCCCAAGCTGCGGACCTTGTCCCTAGGAGGGAGTGCAACCCCATTCAGGACAAGGTTCCATTCACCTTCTCCAAAGCCCGAACCGCCAACCAACAGGACCTCCGTCTTGTCTGGATTGAGCTTCAGTTTATTGGCCCTCATCCAGCCCATTACCTCGGCTAGGCACCGGTTCAGTACAGCCACTGCCTCACCTGGATTGGTGGAAAACGAGAGGTAGAGCTGGGTATCATCAGCGTACTGATGGTTCCGCAGCCCACACCTCCTGATGACCTCTCCCAGCGGTTTCATGTAGATGTTAAACAGCAAAGGGGACAAAATGGACCCCTGCGGTACTCCATGGCAAAGCTGCCATGGCGCAGAGCCATAGTCCCCCAGCACCACCTTCTGGAATCGGTCGTTGAGATAAGAGCGGAACCACCGCAAGGCGGTGCCTCCGACCCCCATCCCGCAAGCCTATCCAGAAGGATACCATGGTCGATGGTATCGAAAGCCGCTGAGAGGTCCAGGAGAACCAACAGGGACGCACTCCCCCTGTCCTTCTCCCTGCACAGGTCATCGTACAGGGCGACCAAGGCAGATTCAGTACCGTACCCGGGTCTGAAGCCGGACTGAAATGGGTCCAGATAATCAGTTTCATCCAAGAGCGCTTGGAGTTGTCCCGCCACCACTCGCTCTAACACCTTGCCCAGAAACGGGATGTTGGCCACTGGTCTATAATTAGTGACCATCCCTGGATCCAGTGACGCCTTCTTCAGGACTGGTCGGACTACCGCCTCCTTTAAAGGGGCAGGCACCTGACCCTCCCTCAGAGAAGCGTTAACCACTTCCAGGTTCCAATCCCATGCTTGGAATCCTTTATTAACCAAGATGGGCAAGGGTCCAAAAGGCAAGTGGTAGGACGTACTCGTCCAAGCACCTTGTCCACATCATCAGGCCGCAATAACTGAAATTCATCCAATAATTCTGGACCAGACGGTAGCGTTGGTGTCTCCCTTAAAACCTCTGAATCAATAGTGGAATCCAGCTCGTGACGAATCTGAGCGATTTTCTTCTTCTTTGCTAAAACAAACAAACAAAAATATTATCTTATCCCTCTTTACTATCTCCTATTTCTTCCCTTTTTCTCTCGATGGCACAGCAAGCGGCTTTCCGCAAATGCGCGGAATGTGGGTCCAAGATGTCCCCGGCGGACCTGCATGACTTGTGCTTCCTCTGCCTTGGCGAGGGGCACAGAACAGACAAATGCCGCCATTGTCTGGCGTTCACCAAGCAGGCCCGTAAAAACAGGGAGAACCGCCTGCGTAAACTCCTCTGGGACCAGGCATTAAGGCAGTCGGACCAGCTTGCTGCAAAATCTGGGCCTGCTCCGACTGCGCCCGCCAAGCGCCCGGCTTCTGCCTTGGCTGCCTCTGGCCAACGCCTGGCTTCTGCTTCGGCCACACCTGGCCAGCGCCCTGCGGCCATACCACCCATGCCTCAGCCGCACCCATCAGACAATGGGACATCGGCATCTGGAGCCCAACAACCGCTTTCTCCCGCATGCAAACAGTGGGAGAAAAGGAAGCATGGCGGGTCGGATCAGTCTTCTCATAAGAAGGCGAAAAAGGATAAGGCAGGCAAGCCAACTCATAAACTGAAAAAACTTCGTGACTTGGGTTCATCAGCCCCATCGATCCCAATGGCTGCATCGGTACCAACACCATCGGTACTGATGCTACAAGCAGCGATGCAGGTCATCCCGCCGGGATCTCCGGGACAACCGGTTCCTCAGCAGGGCCAGTCCCCTGAGCGACCGAGGAGCTGCTACGCGAGTCCATCTTGGATGGAGAAATCCAAGAT